ATTGTGGCCTCCTTACCATTATCAGATGCGGGGCATGCATTCATATCAGTGGTTGCAGCATGTCGAGGTATTTGGAATACCAGAAAATTTTCACGTTGTATGCATTGCGCTTTGACCGTGGAATTTGTGAATTCATTTCATTCTGAAATTCATACCAATTAGTATCACCGAGATTTTACTCTAGTAGGTTGTCCGCTAACACCCGGACGTGTGACCTGCCAAGAATGAAAGTCAAGCATAACAGATAATAACCGTAAATAATAATTGCACATTTTTATTTTGAAAAGATGGTTTTATTTTTCGTTCTAAGCCGCAAACTCGAGCAAGCGCTCGAAGAGAAGTCAACGGAGTGTGCGATGCGTCGTGGGTTATCCGGCAAAGTTGCGGTTCGGTTGCATGGTGGTGTAAACATGCTACAGCCTAGCCATTTGAAACACCTGTGGGCTTTGCATGGACCAACGTGGACTAAGCCAACTAAGCGCCCACGTGTGAGATAAGTCATGTCAAGGTCATCGTGTTCAGGGCGAGATTACTCCAACAGTTGAGTTACCTCCAAAGAGCGGCGCTGCTCCGATGTGTAGTGCAGCTACGTAGCGGTTTCTGTTATGTCACCACTATGTCACAAGATCTCTAACCTTGCTAGATTACTTCCCAACGAAGCTTTGGGGGCATCCACCAGGTGCACATTGAAAGACTGTTTAACTAGCTTTAAATTTAGTTTTCTCGTGCCTTTCAACGAAAGATTGTTGTTTTCGAGGTGATACTGCAACTTAGCCCATATCCAAGCTAGCAAATGAGCTCTGGAATTCCGTTTCCGTGCCCCTTTAAGATTTACTCTAAGCTACATTCTGGACTTTGTGTAACTTCTTGTGCAAGCACATTTTTTCGAAAAGCACCAATTAATTCCTAGAGGAATTTAACTTCGGCATTATGAAAACTTGTTTGTTTTGCTTTATCTACTTATTTTTCTTAGTGGGGACACATGCATCAGATTAAAATTCAAAGCAGCATGTTGAACTAAAAGAGAAATGTGCAAAAATGCAGGAACAAACATTCCCTTGTTTTTAATAGCCTACGCTACGAAAGGTATTCACTTATATTGGCTATTAGTTTCAGGGAAGAAAAGCAACATAAACTGTTCCTCTTAGCATTTGCATTTAATTTTCTTATGGTCATAATCGACTTGCTGACATGTATATTCGTGGTGTGAAATGCACTTTTTATGATGTATGCCAACTGTAGGGGGTAAATGTTCTGAACTCATTTAAACCATCAGTTTCTCTTTTTTGTTCAAGTGACTCCGAACCTAAGGATTGCTTTGTTATGGAGATCTCAGATTGTTATATTGGTTAAGTAAAGAAATAATGATTTGGAGTCTTTTAGAAGGTTAAGCAAAAACAAGCAGCTATAATATCCTGAGGGTAACCTAACTTAAAATTTAAAGTTAGGTGAACATATAAGGTAGACTACCTCATAGAGTGCTACCAAAAAGGGTTATAAATATTGTAGCCAGGCCATGAATGGACGATCTTTTAAGGAATGTGAAAGATTGTTTTTATATAGAACTGCACTGGTTGTTTCTGCTGTTCATAATTCTATTTTTAAATTCTGTGGCCTGTCTAAGCTGTTACCACAGCGAGAGATGAGGACCAAATGTAAGCAGTTTTCAGTGTTCATTGTCTACTTATCTCCAGTTGCAGCTCCTGTTTCTTACAAAGTCACTGGCCTAGCAGTGAGATTTATAGACATGGGTTACCTGTTTTGTGCTTAAAAGAATCTAACGAAAGCCAGGGTGGGAGTGGAACATGCATCAGGATGCTGCGGTACTTTTGCTTTTATGGTAATCTCTGAACTGTCTAAATTCTAAGGTGCCAGCTGCCAGTTAACTGCTTCCATTAAGACTAATTTACACTTGGTCTTCTTAAACTATGACCCTCCAGCCTGTGTGTATGGTGTTCTACAATGTTTTAAAGGGATGCTGAACAAAAATCTGGATTCCGCAAAACACGGCGGCAAAAGCGTGCAACAGGATGCTACGAACACCAAAACATCACTCAGACAGAGATATCTCGAATGGATGACCGTATTTAAAAAAAAAAAGAGGCGCATTTGACAGATATGTTTACGTCTTGTTTTTCCAAGAAAGAGAGGGAATGGCCTCGCGTCTTCTCCGCCTCGCCGCTTTGAGGGGGCAAAGCGAAGAAAGGAGGAAACGAGATATCTTCACATCACGTGCCTCGTCGGCCTCATTCAATCTCAACCTCTTTTTCTAAAAATACGGCCATCCATTCGAAATGTTGCCTTACTAGTAGTGTTGTAGGGATTGTAGCGTCCCGCCTACAGCTCCTGCTCTGTATTCTGAAGTCCAAATTTTGGTTCAAAATTCCTTTAGGTCTGAGCACTGCAAAGAATTATTACCCTGGATTTTCCATATTCCAGGCTGCTTTTGGCTATACCTAAGGGAGAGGGGGTACCGCCAGGCTGAAAGGGCAGCCCGGCACCAGAAGATGCGCCGGTACCTGTCCGAAAAGCTGTCGGATCTGAGGAGAAATCGCTAAAAAGGTATGTGCTTGTATAGTATAACTTTCTTAATTAAGTAACATACTATTTTGGGTCTCAAGTTTACAAGCAATTATTTTAAATTATGGTATAGATAAATTATTTAGAGGTTAATATATCTCTAAATATTTATGCAAACAACTTTAAAGTAGTGTGTTGATCAGCTGACCACTTGAAAAGGCTGTGGGTTGCTTGATTGCTATTGCTACTCCGTCAGGCTGTGCTCAATAAATCCCCAAAACGTTGCATGGTAACACAATTACAATGAAGCATGTCACTCTTACTGTCCCTCTGTCGTCTCTCGGCCCACTCTTTTGTTGACGTATGTCAATAATCTTCCTGTGTTTGGTCTCATTGGTCACTAAATTGCCCTTGATATGTCCAGGCTCATCCCTTTGCCCTGTCCTGCCCCAACGTATGGTCCCGCCACGGACTGCTCATGCTGCTGCAGGTCTGCCATCGCTTGCACTCGATGCAGCCTTTTCACCGTTTTTTTTATATTAATTTAGCTTAAGTTATATATTGGAAATACTGTTGAAATGGAACAAATGTATTATTGCAGCCAATACGAGCTGAAATGCCACTACGCGTGGCGCACGATACTATGAGAGTTGTCTCTCGGATTGTTCAGTAAACCTCAGCATGCGCTGAGGTGGAGACAAATCGCTTGCGCTCATTGCACCACTATGCCGTTCCGTGTCAAAATCTAGCTCATAGTGGTGCAATGAGTGCAATCAGCAATCTGCCTAAACCTCAGCAAACACTGAGGTTCGCTGAAAAATCTGACAGGTGGTGCTGATAGTACCCCATGCCACGCGTCATGACATTTCAACTCATATTAGTCACGATGTTACTTCCTCAAATGTTGTGGTTTTTCTGTACCATATGCTCCCAGCAAAGCAATGTATAATGTCATAATTTCATAATAAACATATCAAAGCAACGCAGCTTGTTTGACTTTATTCTTATTAGTAGCTGCATTTGCCGTACTCATACATCAGGCTGGTGATTACTAGTGTGCAGTGGACAATATAATTCAATTCTAAGTGGGACATGCATTTCGTCACGCTCCAAACATGGCGTAATTAAATTTCCACATTATGCATTCACATATTGTCGTGCTTTGCACTCAACCATTTGTTTAAGTGGTGGCCAACTCGAACTTCAATGTTTCAAATTAGCCATCAAACCACCATAATCCAATTATTAAAAATGGACGTCCCAAAATACGACAGGTTATTCGACCATCAGACCATCAGACCATCAAACCATCACACCATCAAACCATCAAACCATCAAACCATCAAACCATCACACCATCAAACCATCAAACCATCAAACCATCAAACCATCAGACCATCAGACCATCAAACCATCAAACCATCAGACCATTAGCCGTCCCAAAATACGACTCCATCAGACCATCAGACCATCAGGATTTTCCTGATGGTCTTTTCGATAGGGATTGCAAGTTCAACATTGTGATAAATGAAAAAAGTAATGTTGAATGTATAATCGCGTAAAAACAAAAACTCGCATTGCAGAGCACAAAAAAAATTGTCCTGTCTAGCAGAACATTTTGCGCTAGTCGTCTGTAGAATCATCAAAAACAAACATTGCGATAAATCTGCCGCGTGTCGAAATCGTATACAAATATTCTGAAAGATCGTCACAACTTCAACGATATGGCACCACATTTTAAAATGGTACAATATTACACCATTGCCGCGACACAGTTGCCTGAAGATAGTTTCTGAAGTACCACACACATGCATCCCTGCCCCGCGAAGGGTATAAAAAATTCAAACTTTGTAAAACTAAGTTATATTTATCTACCGATACTTCTTATGCTCATCTTACTAAACTTACATCTTTCTTCCAAGGAGTACAAACTATAGAAAAGGACTACACAATTTAGAGATTACCCATCTTAACTTCTACAGAAACCAATGATGCATTCAATACATCTTAATGTACATAAATCACGCGTTAACTATATGAACGTGTGACCATCTTAACTTGAATAAAACTATAGAATTGCACTGAAGCAGAAATCTAGTCGACGAGTTTTTTGCAGATTTACCTGATGGTCGCAATACTACGTGCTATAGGCCATTCATTGGTAACGTTCCAGCAATGCAAATCAAGGACGACCAATATCACGTCTTTATTTTCTTTTTCTTTTAGTGCAGGCGAGATTTATACGAGTAATGACCATATTCGGAGGTTACACCTTCGAGTATGGTGTAACCTTCGAGGCTACACCATACTCGACGTTGCCATGTACAACTGCCCTTGATAATACGAAGCTTGTAGCTCGTGATCTGAATTTTCACTTGGAACCTGACGCCCGTTTATGGAAATAAAAAAATAACAGGTCATCGCGCGACGTACCTAGATAAAACTAAAATTAAAACTCGACTCGGCAAATCAAAAACAGCCTTTTGCTCCAGTTCATTGCAATGACTGTGACGTTTTCTTTACTATTGGTTTTATGAATATATTAATTAGCCGCACGTTCACGGGCATGTCCTGTATAAGGCTGCGTTAACTTCATTGTTAAGCGCGATGCGAAAACTCGTTCCCTTTTTTTTTTTTTACTTTACTCCCTTCGTAGTACTGGTGATGGGACCAGCGCCGTCTACGAGTCGGGACATTTACATATATAAGGGGCTTCACGACAGATCCTACTCAGCAGTCGCACCTTCGCAGGCTCGTATACTTCACCATGACCGGAGTAAGTTAAAGTTTACCGCTCGCAGGAAGTAAGATTTGCAGATTTAATCTTGAAATGCAATTTGCTTAAGTAAAACGGATCATTTCAACTTCACGGGAAACATAGAACTGGCTTAAACTTGCAGCAATACGATTAAGGCTTCGCGGGTACTAACATAGCTGGGGTTAGAACTCAATGTATTTTTACTAAACGATAGCAAGAATTAAATAGGGACGGCCACTTACGCGTATCTTTTATTCGATTGCAAATACCTCATACCCAAATGACTCTCTAACATCCTCAATCAATGTGTACATGTTTGTATTAACAGATATTTATGTATGGCCTTTGAAAGGGTCGATATAAAATTTTTCTCAACTTAAGAGTACATGTACGCGAGTGTTGTACATGTGCTGGGAAGCTCTCATCATTCATTTTGTATTCCTACTTTTAAATTTTGCGTTTCTAAGGAGTAATTTAGTGGTAGTAAAGATACGCAGTCACCTGGGTGAAATACATATCCAACTTCTTTAGCTTCGGGTATTACCGTTGCATCCTTCTTATCTTTTTTCCCGTCACTACTGATCCATTTAGGAGTAATCAGATTTTGCTGAGCATTTAGATCACGCCTTTAATTGAAACAAAAAATTTGATTCTTTTTACTACGCATTTATAATTCCCCCTTTGTTTCAAAGAAAGTAAAAGTGCTTAAACGATTTTCAAGGGACTCGAGAAAAATTAAATACGTATTTTCAAGTATATCATTGGTCATTGAGAAACCTATCCGCCAAATTTTAGCCGCTCCGAGCAAGCAGCTCCAAGGAAGCGCTAATCTTGAATAATTTAATTGGAGTGCAACCAAAAGTGTACAAACTAGAAAAATATTTTAAAGAAGAGAAAGAAAACCTTTTTCTTAGATGCCGCAAAACGAATAACCTCAAAATTCATTATGTTGCCACTTAAAACGCAAAGAGAAAGTGCTTTCACCATCCGGAGATTAAATTTCACTTGCAAGAAATGTGATTCCTTTATTGCTACGAGGCATTTGGAGTATTTTTGTGTTTCGAGTTCACTTTACTTTGATCTGATTTGTCTAATCATCACTTATTGACAAAAACGCTTTTATTTCTGATGACCATGGTCTTTGAGAAGAAGGATTAAATTAAGGCGCTAATGAAGAATAAGATGTAATTTATGGTTTACATTTTCCAGCTTCGTGCATGCCTTCTTCTAGCCCTGGCCAGCAGCGCCATTGCTGGTCAAATCCATGGGGGCCTTAGCCACGGCATCGGCCTTTCCGGTGTCGGCTATTCCGGCCTTGGCTACTCTGGACTGGGCTACGGTTCCCTAGGCTACGGTTATGGTCTCGGCTATGGCCAAGCCGTGGGTTTCGGCAACGGCTTTGGCTACTCGGGTCTGACCGGATACACCGTCGCTGCCCCAGCCGTGAGCCGCACCGTGTCCACCTACCACGCTGCTCCGGCCGTCGCCACCTACCACGCTGCTCCAGCTGTCGCCACCTACCAAGCTGCTCCAGTGGCTACCTACCACGCTGCTCCAGTCGTGACTAGGGTGTCTACTATTCAGGCTGCTCCGGCTGTCGCTACTTACGCCGCTGCCCCAGTCGCCACCTACGCCGCTGCCCCAGCTGTCACCAGGGTCACTAGCTACCAGCCAGCTGTCGCCCGTGTCGCTACCTACCAGGCAGCTCCAGCTGTCACCCGTGTCGCTACCTACCAGGCCGCTCCAGCTGTCGCTACCTATGCCGCTGCTCCAGTTGCCACCTACGCCGCTGCTCCAGTTGCCACCTACGCCGCTGCTCCAGCTGTGACTAGAGTGTCCACCATCCACGCTGCTCCGGCTGTGGCCAGCTACCAAACCTACCATGCCCCAGCTGTTGCCACCATCGCTCACGCTCCAGCTGTGACAAGCTACCAGACCTACCATGCTCCCGCTGTTGCCACTGTGGCTCACGCCCCAGCTGTCGCCAGCTACCAGACCATCCACGCTGCCCCAGCCGTCGCCACTTACGCCCACGCTGCTCCAGTGTACGGATACGGCGTTGGATCGCTCGGCTACGGTGTCGGCAACTACGGCTACGGACACGGCCTTGGAAGCTATGGCCTGAACTATGGTTACGGCCTTGGCACCTATGGCGACTACAGCACCCTCCTCCGCAAGAAGAAGTGTAAGTACATACTCATCGGTATAATGACTTCAAATGCTGTCAGAACAATCAGCTTAATTCCCATTGCATCCAAAGTGTTACTAGCCGGAGGCATGCTGTTTAGAGAAGCTTGTTTTAGAGAACGCCGTTTCACCGACCCCAGTTTATGGAATTATTTCATAGAGAAACCCAGTTTAGAGAAAAATGGCTATGACCCACCTTTTAGAAAATTCAGCCGGCTCGAAGTGGCGTGTGCTGATGAGTCAGGTGGGTTGACATTTTCGTAATGAGCCGCCACAGACTGTCGCCTCGAAGTGGTGTAAACGCGCGAGCTGAGGGGGGGGGGGGGGGGGGGGGGGGAGGGGGGAAAGTTAGCACGCGTTCTACTGTACACACGCAAAGCAGGGGAGCCTTTTTTTTTAAAAAAAAAAAACCTTCCTTTTCTATAAACGGCATTTCTCTAAACCGAGGCTCCGCTTTCTCCATAAGCTTCGATAAAACGTGCTCATTCTCTAAGACGTGCTTCGATGAAATGGCGTGCGGTCAACCGCTGTAAATCCCTTACTAGATTATCCTTTTATGCATTTGTGCTCTACGCTACTGTATTTCTTTTTTTTTTTCTTTTTTTCAGAAACTCTTATCCAGAGTTAAGCACAAGAAGTCGCCTGGATGCTGTCTTCTCCTGCCAACCACCAAACACAATAAACATTTTGAAACAAAACAAACTAAAAAAACGACATTTCTTTATTGGATGGCCTTGATTTTGTGTTTAATCCACTTTATAAACGATTTGTTTGAAGAAAGTCACTTTTTGTTGTATGGGGTGCTGTGAGTCGGTATTGAGTGTTTCTTGCCCAAACCGTACAAACAGGTCAGCGTCGCTGCTTGAAAAACAAGGGACTATTCAAACCTTCATTTCAGGTTTGTTTGTTTTTTTTTTCTTTTTTTTTGAATTTTGAAAATTACTCTGCTTTTTTCTTTCCCCCTAATCCCCAATGTCTTCGTATCTCGATAAAAAAAAAAAACACAAGATAAAAAGTTACGATAACGTTATTGTGTCAGGAAAATTCGATTGTGCCGTTTTGCTTTTTATCTTGTAACGTATTTGTATGTTACAATATCAGCCTTGTGACACAGTTATAAAGGCTATATCAAACTGGATCTCTTTCGCTGATTTACAATTGAATGTACAAATATTAGTAGACCACAGTACAAATCTTGAAGCATTTATTTTCTAGACTTCGCCCGGAAATCCTTAGCGCGGCCCTCTGTCAAGGGATGCCCCACTAGTCGCCGCAGAGCATGTTCCGACGGGCCCGCCGATGTTTTCATCTCGCGCGGGGCCCTACCCGGACATGTAAGATTTCGACTCCTGGCAACACCCGGCCTTAGGAAATTTAAGTGACACCTGCTTCGACGGATGGCTATATAAGCCCACCACGCAGGACGGCCAGGTTGGGCATTGCATGGCTCGAAATACAACGATGCAAAACCTATTTATGGTTCAGGTGTTGATGACCGATAACGTTGCGGGTCCATATCACATGAGCGAATGACATTTTAGCGAACAGCGACATTTTAGCGAACAGCGACATTTTAGCGAACAGCGACATTTTAGTGAACAGCGACATTTGAGCGAATCGACGTTTTAGCGAATAACGGGGGCGCGCGTTAACCCATCCGCCGCGCTGCGCTTTACGCCGCTTCGCGGCGACAGTCTGCGGAGGCTCATTACAAAAATGTGAACCCATTTGGCCCACCCGAAAAGGCCGCTTCGCGGCGTCCGCCTATTCGCTAAAGTGTTATTCGATGAAACATGGGCGTTCGCTAAAACGTCTTTCGATCAAGTGAGTGCCTCCCGTCCCGACACGCCCGAATATGCTTTCGCCGCCCCGGCGGCCCTACCCGGACATGTAAGATTTCGACCCCTGGCAACACCCGGCCTCAGGAACGTAACATGACCCCGCTTCGATGGATGGCTACATAAGCCCACCGGGCAGGACGGCAGTTGGGGCACGGCATGGCTCGAAACAAAACGATGCAACACCTGTTTATGGTTCATGTTAGTTCTCTCTCAAATCTCAACTGATATCGTAGCAATGAATTGCGTTTGGTAGTGGTGTCGTGCCCCTATGACTTCTCTAACTATAATGCATGTTGTCGCGTTTTTTGCTTAAGAGAAATAGTATATTTTACAACCAGCAACATGGTTTTCGCAGGGGATTGGCTTGTGAGACTGGGCTCGTAGAAGTCACCCACGAGTCATACACTAATTTTGAATTCAACCACCAAACCAATGAGTTAATTTTGGACTTATCAAATGCCTTCGATCGCGTTCCTCGCTCTCACCTGCTTGCGAAACATTCAGGTCTCAAAATCGACCCTCTCGTACTCTCCTTTATCTGTGGTTTTTTTATTTCTCTCGCACTCAGTCCACTACAGTTAACAGTTGCTCATCCACCCACGCATAGGTTACCTTGGGAGTCCCCCAAAAGTCAGTTCTTGGTCCCCTGTTGTTGTTTTTTTGTGTTTTTTTTTTTAAATTTGCAATAATGATCTTTCAGAGAAGCGTTTCTCAAACATCCGCTTCTTCGCTGAACACTGCGTGATGTACAGGAAGATTGTTTCATTGCAAGACCATCTCCAACTGCAAAGTGCCCCGGAAAACGTCGAGGCATAGTGTACTAGGTAGTTAATGACATTAATTAAGTCAAAATATCAGTCAGTCCACTTCTCCCGGAAACGACAAGAATCTCAGTTCTCGTACAAATTAGAAAATTACTTAGTCCAGGGCGCCCCATCTAATAATACCTCGGCGTGGCCCTAACAAACGATCTTACCTGGAACGCTCATATCAGGCTATTCTCTGCTGAGGCGTGTTATTGCGTCGGCTACATAAGACGAAACCTAGAATCGGCTTCCCTGTTCGTGCGTAAAATGGCATATGAGACGTACATTCGACCCAAATTAGAATATACTAAGGCCATATGGAGCCCTCACCAAATTTACTTATCAAACCATCTTGAGGCAGTCCAGAATCGCGCTGCTAGTCTAAAAGACTTTAAAGCCCAAAAAACACGGACGAAAAAGAGACACATACACACAGACGGGTGCTAACTTTCAACTGATTTAATCGAAACAAACCAGCCAGCACACGTGCGTGAACACTTTTTTTCCATCTTGCCAACCTCATGTGATAAAAGCAACCCATAAACACAAACAACAGATGACAATGATTTAAACATTCATATCAGTTGAACGTGACAACACAAAACCATCTGAAAAAGAAACGTGATTGCCATTTAGTATAATTAAAAGCGTGCTGACGCAGTTGTCATCTGAGGTCTTTAAAAAATACGCTTCAACTATTTCCCTCTCAGTCTTGTTATTTCCTCTTTTAATAAATTTTGTTTATTTCAACAGGGGATTACACCCGCACACATGCACTGTACTGCAAGCTGTACCCCCGCTTTGTTACGAACCGCTCTACGATGTTCACGCGTCCTTGAGTTAAAACACCGCCCAGTCTATCCAATATACACGCTCCCGCTCGTTAGTGGAATCTCATAAAAAACAACATTAGAGGCACAAGCGGTGTACTGAGTGAGGTTCTTCTATAACACGTTTCTGTCTAGTCATCAAAGGGCAAGCTTTTGCCAGCTTGAATGAGGCGGAGAAAACAACATTGACATCATACTTAGTTGATATTTTCTTAAAGTTATACGACACCTTGTTTAAGTAATCCCTCACTTGATTTTTTAACCTTTTCTCGTTGGCCATTCCTTGTGTTGCCTTTACTTTTTATCTCTTGTAGAAGGTCTTCGCACACGCTGGTAATCAAGCAGGTGGGGTAGCCCCGTTCTACCCGAAGTGCAAAGCTAATTGTCAAAGCGTGATGGCAGTTTCTTGTCAGAGTAGCTTTAAGAAAGTTGAGAGCAATTCATCATTTTATAAGCTTAGAATGAGCGCTATCAAAAGACAAGAGGCTCTTTTTTTTGTTAACGCGGTTTGCAAAACCAGCACACGTGTTCATCTGTAAAAGTAAGCTGTAGGTCTAAAAACTGAATGCACTTGTCCATAGAAAGCTCCCAGGTGAAATTCAATCCGTACAACTTGGTCTCACACAATTGGACACCCTTTGTAACAACATCATTAAAACACAACCCCGAGGGGTCATCCACAATAACCAGAAAGTTGTCTAAATATCTTAAGCACATGCGTCTCTTTAAGGCACTCCAATATGCGCTTATCCGTTTATGCTAAGAAAGTATCACACAAAACTGGGGCTACCGAGGAACCAATACTAATCCCCGCATTTTGCACATAAAATTTATCATTAAAGTTGACAACCGTCGACCACAGATAGAATCCCGCAGCAACACTAAAAAGCGGTCACTGCTGACACCTGTAGAACTTTGAAACTCATTTTTTTCTGGTTTATCGATCTTGTCCCGAACAGCATTAAAGAGCCCTGCGTGTGTTTCTTAATCAAACAAATCCTCAGATCCGCGCCGCTAGGTTTGTTTGGAAGGTATACGATTGGTCAAGTAGTGTATTCGTCCTCAAAAACGAACTGAACCTTGCTTCAGTAAACGTCCGCAGCAAGATAGCGCGCCTTTGCCTTTTCGCACATATAAGATAGCGCAAGAAGACAAGAAGTTAACAGGACATGCGCTAACTTTCAACAAGTTTTACTCAGGAAAAGCAAAGAATATATAAATACCATACGTGAAGCAGCAACACATAAAATTTATCAATTCAGTATCCGATCATTAAAAAATAAACGGATACTAACGAAGGAAGGCAGTGGTAAATCATTCAAGATCTAACACTACCTTCCTTCCTTCCATTCCGAGACTGTTCCTCTTTCTGTCCAGGCGATCCTCCTCGCGGCTAAATCACCCGTGTCACGTTTCCCGCATCATAAGCAGCAAACTTCTTTTGACTCCTCCTTTTCCCCCTTTCTATACACCTTTTCACCCTCCGCCGCACGGGCGCTGCCATCTTGGAATCACGTGATGCGGCCGCCATTAGGTTGCTTCAACTTGTTGCTCCGCTCTCCCGTCCGCGCCTTGGCGGATGCGTTGAATTCGTGTTTTTCGTCGCGTTTCACCGCGTCCCTTGCCTTACTCCGTAAAGTGTCGTTCCATACTTATACTTACCATGCAATTCCATTACATCATTATGCGCAAATCTTCTGTAGTTAATTTTGTAACACGTTTTTAATATGTTTTTTACCGTCGGCGTGTGGGATACGGGTGAAAAGGCTTTATGGGAACAAAAATCAGCGTTAGCAGTTGCGCACATTGAATACATATATGACT